TTACTCAGTTTGAAATGTAATATCCAAAAACCCACACCCTTTAATGTTTACTCAGTTTGAAATGTAATATCCAAAAACCCACACCCTTTAATGTTTACTCAGTTTGAAATGTAATATCCAAAAACCCACACCCTTTAATCCTTTGAGATTGGTACACATCTACATCAAAAGTAACCTTTCACTAAAGCTAGATGAAGTTGATTACTTAACTTATTGCAATGAAACTAAAACTTCCATGTAATAAGTTTGAATAACACCACGATCTCAGTCCCATGAAATGAGATTAAGTCAGATGCTATTTAATAATTGAGTTTTCTTACATTTACTGACGATTTAGAAATCTAATTGTAAAATCTACATATAAATAACAATGTAGCCATTAGATTAAAATATTTGTTCTCTTAGAATATATGTGAAAGCAGTGAGAGTACAAAAACTACAAACTGAATCCACGAAGGTCCGACCAATCGAACAAAGTTAGTTCAGTCAAATATTTGTGTTCTAAATTTATTTTATGCGAGATTCGCTTAATGCTTAATACAAATATATTATTTTTGTTTATAAACATTTTATAATATACTTTAGTATTATTATATCAGTATATGATCAACCTATTTCTCCTAAGCTTACAATTGTAAGTTTTCATTTCATGCCTTTATATACACTTAGTAAGAATGGTTAAACTTACAATATTAATTACTGGGTTAATCTTTAGTTCTCTTTACACTCACACGCAGTATACTTCAAGTTAAAACTCACTTGATATGTAGTTTTTCTATCTTAACAACAGTTACACATTTTAAAAAAGTTTCAGTATAGTACTTCTTTTATTCATTTGCGAGGAAAACTCAAATCATCTTATATCCTACAAAGTTTGGAGGGGGAACTTCCCCCTTTGTCCTTTAGCAAATGATGCTCCTGCTTAGTAGCTAGGATGTTTGATAATCACAAAATGTTTGAAATGAAATAATCATATTAAGCTTTGCAATGTAAAGAGCTGCCATTATGTGACCTTATTTAAATTCTCCTATAAGTCATATAAGTTATGTTCTAAATTAAAAGGATATGGTGAAACAAAATCATCATCTTGTCTAAGAGAAAAAAGTGTTATCTGAATGAAGCAGGCATAGTCTACACCGAACACTAAGTATCAGTCATTAAATCGACCAACTTATATTGAGTAAATAGTTGTGAACGGTCAACATTTTGGTTTTACAGTTTCATCAGAGCAGTGGTGGATTTGGGGAGGGGGGGGTAGCTACAACAATTTATTTCACTACTTCCTCGTGGATTGCAGCCACAAACCATTTTTTTACTATTAGGATAAAGTCTTCCTTGTTTGGACCTACGTACTGTCACAAACTATCAGAGTTATGTTCTTATTTCTGTCCACATACTTGCTTATATTTGTATACATTGAACAGATTCACGTGTATTTATGCAATGCTTAATTGTAATGTTTGAATGTTTATGTACTTTAAATAAATAATTAATTTTTTTGCTACTCTAGTTACAAATTCAAATAGAATACATGAGCTTTATATAGATCATATTCATAAAATATAAATAATGCATGGTTTATACATGTTAATAAATGTTTCATAGCCTAACAAAATCCTAGATCTGATATTGCAGTCTCAGCATAGCATAAGAACTCACGAAGTAAGTAAAAAAAAAAGTCTAAATATTCTATGTTATACATTGCTGTATTGGATTAAGTTTCAGGCTGGTTGAGTTTCTGAGTTAAAAGATAATTATATATATATATATATATATATATGTCAAACAAATTGCCTGATCAGTACCTGAAATACTGAGATAATGTTTGAGTAGATATTTTACAAACTCTTGGAGAAAATAAAAGCCTGATGATGTTAATAACATGTTAATAAATAAATATATCATTGTTTCAATATACACATATATTACTTGTCTATTTTTGTTTGTTCTGGAAAAAAAGAAAGCCTTGACTCCCTGTTTCTATGCTTAACATACAGTCCCTTGGATCTGTAAAATAATATAATCATTTGACTTTTAACTTCTACACAACCAACCTATACTATAGCAAATGATCAAATAGCTTCTAAACTGTGGTTTATAAACAATTGATTATCAACCTAGTTCTATGAATTAAAACTTATCAGTCACACTTACATTAACTAAAAGTAAAAACGTTTTAATTAACTGTAAAATATACCATTCTGAAACAAAAAAAACATAAAATGTTACCCAAATAACTGACTACTGAAATTACAGTTGCAATGTCATAGCTCCACTACTACTACTAGTATTAGTGGTACTGGTAGGGTTAATCCTGATACTAGGTATATCTATCTGTATACTATTACTATTAATATCAAGCCTAATTACTTGTAATACAATTAAAATTTGTGTTACTATACTATTATTTTAGAGCTAGCACTGACAGTTCGGGACAACAGTATATTTCGGTAAATTTGAGCAGTATTTTGGAATATTTCGGTATTATAAGCAATCACAATACAACAACTTACAAGTAGCAAATTAAACGATCGAAGTTCATCATTATGTTAAGAGGGCCTGCTAAACTAATATCATTTCTAATTCTAATAATAATAATACAAAGACTTGCCCAATATTTGAAAATTCAATTACCAACAGATTTGACTTGTGCAAAGTTGTAACTTATAAGTTATAACTATATACATAAGCAAGTTGTAGTTGACTAATAGTAATACTGTAATTTGTAAAAGTGTAATACTGAATAGTAATACTTAATAACTTATGGTTATATAACTTACAAGTTGCATTGTACTTTTTGAAATTCAAGTTACGATTTTATTTTTATGTGGAAAAAGGGTAAAAAATACGACTAAATCCAAATAGAATGCTCAACTAATTTAACAAATATTTTTTCTTCTTTATCATAAACTTACCACACTCTTCGTTAAACCTTTTATTTTTTGCTTTTGGAAACATATTTATTTTTCAAATGTCCGCGCTTTGGCTCATTAGAACTGAGCATTTCAAAAGATGTGACGTAAGTACAGACCTCCTTTCTTATATAGAGGGCCCTAGCGTAGTCTTTTTTCGATCATCCTCGCGATATATTAAATATTGTAAGTTTTATATTAGAGGTCATATAAAAGTGTATAAAAATAACACGATTACGTTTTCCAGATGACAAAAAAATAAACACCTATAGACACTTCCAAGTAATTTAAAAATATATAATTTTTAAAATTACTATAACATTTTATATTAGGTAGCGTGGCCGAGTGGTCTAAGGCGCTGGTTTTAGGCACCAGTCTCTCAGAGGCGTGGGTTCGAATCCCACCGCTGCCAGATTTTTAAAATATTCCACGAATGTGTTCACAGTTCTTTTCGTTTATAGAATACAAAAAATAGTTGACTTTATTTTTATGATAGAGCATAGTAATATCTTTCTTGAACCTAATTATCTCGAGTATAGATATTTAGAACTCAAATGTAGCATTACACAGGACAAAACACTACTACAACTAACAATGTGTGTTTTTTATTTTATTTGTCATCTCATACTTTTGGTGTTAGTAGGACCAAATTTAGCAGATGAACTCAAGATGGCCACGGGATTTCCTTTCCTATATGATCTAGCTACCTTCCAAGTGGTCTAAAACGCTCCCAGGTATAATGGGAGACTAGAATGAGGTTTACAGTATCGCTGAACTCGAATTTGGTGTAAAATATACTGGGGTGTATATTTTATTTTTTTAAAGGATGTATGATGTATTGATTGCTGTATTATGGTCTTCCTTTCATTGTTTTTATCATCATAGACTTTCTTTTTCTAATTATTGCCCTCTTTTCCAGTGTGCAGTGTTTATATTTAGTCTCACTATGTATTTCATACTTCTGTATTTTCACGTTAATTTAAATGATTTTAATCTTGAACTTTGTAATTTTCATTCTGTATTGTGCCATTTAGAATTTATCCTTTTAAACTGTAATCTGCTTTGTTTCAATGTACTGCATAGTGTGTTAGACTATAGGAGGGAGCAAGTGTTCGTTGTTTGAATGTCTGTGTAAATCTTGTGTGTTAAAGGGCCTATTTTTTGTATTAGTTGCACCTGTGTTAAATGATTTATTTTTAAATTATGTATTACTTCTGTGTTAAAAGGTATTGTTGTGAAACGTAACTGTGTAATGTATCTTCTTTAATTCATTCTGTTATATTATCATTTTTCTTTGTTTAATTGCCCATCACGTATTACATTCATTGTTTATGTTATTTTTGTTTCTTTGTTCAAGAGTTGTAATGTCTGCATTTTTTTGGAAAAAAGAAAGAGTTAATGCTATCCTTGACCAGTGTGTTAATTAAAGTTAATTGTTCACTTGGGACAAGCCTGAAGTAGGGAAGACAAAAGTGTAGTATATGAAAATATCAGCTGTTTCTATCTTCTTGTATTATTATAATTATAGTTAATCTTGATTCATTCTTTGTTTTGGATATATACAGGCTTCACATTACACGTGGTCGAGAAAGCCATTAAGATGTTCTTGTTTCAAGTTACTTTTGTTCCTTCACAACTGATATCTTGTGATAATCTCTAGTTATTTAGCAAACTTATCCAATAGCTCTAACATTTATTCAGTTCACCTGGATATACCACAGTTACATATATATTTTGAGTCAACCAATATGTATTTGTTCACATATTGTCATAGAACTACAAATATTAACAACATACAGGATAATTTCATTGAATTATAAACAACCATGCTGCAGTTAATTAGTCCTTGATAAGACAAATTTTAGTTCTTGAAAACAGGTATGTATGAAATACTGTAGTATGGTAAACTTCTTACATTACTGCTAAAATTAATAATGTCACCTCCACAAAGTTTAATAAAACTAACTAAATGTTTGGGTTACAATATTGCATAATTGGTTATTTTAGAGATTGCTGTTAAGTGTTAAATGGTTACTATAAGGAACAGCAACACCAGTAGTTCTTCATGTATAAAATACTTTCTGAAGATTGTCATTGTTTGGTTTTTATTAAGTCAGTAGCATTATTAAAAAACTTTTGAATTCTTGATAAGAAATGAAAATGTTTTTGTTGTAGAAGATTATTCTACAGAAAAATCACCATTCCTATAAGAGTAAGCTTACTTAGATTAGTGAAACTCACATAAAACAAACCAAATTTGTACATTTTGTTTAAAGCTTTAACTGAAATGAAATATTTGTAAATTAAGTATAAATACAAGGTCTGAGAAATTTATATCAAATAACATTTATTTCCATATTTCTAGATCCACCACAAAAATTAAAACTTACCAAGTATTCTACAAAAGAACAAGCTTCCAGACATTCAAAGCTGCATATTAATTAGCACTTACTAAGATCTCAGTTAACTTAAATCTGAATATCAATAAGACATTGTTAAATCTGTAATGCATTTTTTTATTCATTAATTAAAAGCATCACATAAAAACGTCATACTATAGTTTTTGAAAAAAGAATTACAATACTTGAGCAATGAAAAACAAAAATTGTAAAAAGATAGTTCTTTATGTCTCTCTCTCTCTCTTTTGAAAAAAAAAAGGTTCTTTGTAGAGTAATAAAATTATCTAGTCTTTCAAAGATATTATTTTGATTCTCAGGCACATATCACTAACCAGACACTTCAATTTTGCATCTAACTTTCTCCACTACTTTTAAATAACAAATATTAACTATGAAGGAGAATAATTTGTCAGATGTACTATTATTGACCGAGATAACAAACTGGAAAAACTAATACCACAAGCAGGCCTTAGCTGAAGAATAGAAGATTATAGTTCAAAATGTCTCTTACTCTGAAATATATGTTCACAGGGAACAAAAAATTAATATTTGTAGGTCTTCTTCAATCTTTCTGGAACTAATGCATGCATATTTCTTAAAAGTACCAGTGAATAATTAAACATTCTCATTAATAACTCTGGTATTTGAGAACATAGATCACACCAATTACTATACAAAATTATAATTTCTGAGTTCAATACAAGGGCAGATCAAGAGTGGGGGGGTTGAAACTCCTCTTTCTGATGGACTACCAAACATAGAAAGGAAAATTTTTCAATAGGTTTCATGACCAGGTGGAAGAACACCCACAATCAAAAATCCTGTATCCACACCTGCAACAATTTTTTTTTTCTCCAATTCGAAACTTCAAAATTCTCAAGAATGCACAGGTAAGACTTGGATGATATTTCAAACATAAAATAATATACATGTTCTTTATTGCAAGCAAATATTACAAGTAAAACAATTTCAAATAAGTCAACTAGTTTCATATTTTTTTCACATCAGATAATTTTTTTGCTATTTTGTTACTATCATTAGAAATGTTTGCTTTCACGACTTTTCGTATCTCCATCACTAAACCACTGGGATCTTCCATCAACCGTTTTCCTGAAAAGAAGAACAAAATTAAGAATATTATTAATGATAATAAATGATTCAACTGATTCTAAAGAATGATCTACTAATTATACCCAAGAAATTCGTAATCTAATAAAAATTAATTTGATACAAAAAAATATACACAATTTATAACTAATTTTTTTAAATTCACATCTCACAATTTACCCCCAGAATTGAAATTGGTAAGCTAATCACTAACATTGTAAAAGATACAAACTGACATTATCATTAAAACAAGTTATTAAGAGTAAATGTCTTTCCTTACATCTATACCGCTTACCAATAAATCTAGCCAAAGATAGCTTTCTTTATTTTCCCTAGAATACCAGTGTCACTGTCTTGTTCTTGTGTTCTTTCACTACCGGCATAAGATTTCTTTTTTCCTATACGTACAAACAAATAGAAAATATTATATTGGTCCAATTGAACATTCAATAATAACTTATTATTGTCATATTCTGAAGAGGGTGACACTGGTATTCAAACACAAGTTCTTTATACTATATCAAACATTGTGAAGTAAAACAAAAAGTCACACTATACCTATTATTGTAAAACAGTAATATAAGATACAACTAAGAAACTCAACATTTTGGTAAAAAGCAGAGTTTACTATAATTCACAAGAAAGACAATCCTTAGTTTCTCAGAATAAAAGTGTGTGTGTGTGTGTGTGTGTGTGTGTGAAGAAATGTAATTATATAACAAACATAACATACAAAATGTGTGTGTCTGCAGGCAAATATTCCAAAACAACTTTCTGAATTATGTTTTTTCCCAATTTTGTGCAAATCTACACAAGGTCTTTCTGCACATAGCTGCCCTAAATTTTAAATTCATAGGGAAGAGGAAAGGCAGCTAGTCGACAGCACTCATCATCAACTTTTGTTTCACTATATAGTAGATCTTATAATCACTTTCACACCAATGGCCCAACGGTATGGTGCGGAACATATTTCTTTAACAACAGGTTACCATTGTCAGATTCACCATCTGGGTATGCTAACCTGTAGGCTACACCCAATTACAGATGCTGATAGGTGAAGACTTGTGTTCATCTTGCAAGAAGCAAGGGCTTATCTTGATCACTTACAGGATTAGGATAACAAGTCCCATCATTCAAGAAACAAATCATTACGCAACTGACACCTCGAATTTCCACAGTTTTATAAAGATGAAACATATGAAAAACACAAAAGACAACTCCATAAAAACAACTGTTTCAGAATCAATCTGAAGTTCAACAAGTAGACTGTGCTATTAGATCATGAAAAAAAATAATTTTAATTTCAGTAAAACAGTGGCTTGAAACAAATTATAATAAAGCATCCATTTATGTTTACAAACAAAACCAATAACTAGAAACCTGACTGTAATGAAGAGTATTCGATACTTATTAATATCCACATCAGATTTAATATGGTTAGGGCTAACAGACCACTTCTCACTTCTAGACTAGTTTAAAAAAGGTGATTTAAAAAGCTGTAAAACAGTCAACTGCTTAACAAAGTTTAGTCATTTCAATTAAGTAATTTGATTGCAAAAACATTGTTAAAAAGTTGATAGACAATATGTTTTCGACTTATGTTAAGTCATTACTCCAACAATCCACTCTCCATGTATAAGGGTGTATTTATCTAATTACTAATAGCTAAGAAACCTGGTATGACCTAGTAGTTAGGGACCTTGACTTGTAATTAGTGGGTTCAAATCCTGCCACCAAACACACTCCCCCTTTCAGCCCTCTTTTTGTGACAATCAATCACACTATTTACAGATAAAGAGTAGTCCAAGACAGTGGGTGGTGTTGACTAGCTCTCTTTCCTCTAGTCTATCACTTCAAAACTAGGGATGACTAGCACAGATAGCTCTCGAGCAGATTTGCGTGTAATTCAACAAACAATAATGAGTAGATATTAATAAAACTGTTGTACCCCTTTATTTACTTTTAAATTTCACTAAAACTTCAAATGGAAAAATATTAACCCTTTCACCAATAAAAATATTAACCTCTGTACAGATATTGAACAAAAAATATTAACCCTTTCACCAATATCGAAAGGGTATTTATTGCACCCTGTTAGGCCTAGAACATGCAAAATGTAGTATTAGTTTGCAAGTATTGGTATTAGTGTTAGCTGTACATCTACAGTATGAAATGAAATAATACTTCATTATCAAACTTGTTTTCTTATTACAATAGAAAATCATTCCCCAATAACATTATTCAACATATTATACGATGAAGCAATTTTTAATTACAAATCTGAGTACTTAATTCGAACAAAGTGATATATGGTAATAAACAAACTTCTGGAAGAGAAAATTTAAAAGAAATAAACATCTTGTAAACAGAGAAATTCCTATCATTATTTTGCTATTTTATGAAATGTAATAAAATTTGTATATTTCCAATAAATTAAACACAATCTATATTACTATCTATCTTATCAATACATTTGAAACTCTACATTTATAAAAGTAGTTTAAAACTACAGACAAAGACAAAGCAACTATGACATTACAGAAATAAAATAATACCTTCTTTGTAATTCCAATCTAAGTCCTAGTAACTGAGCTTTAACATAACAAAAAAATTACAAACATTGTTGTTAATTCTACTCATTAAATAGACTCGTATATTCCTTAAATTTTGTGCTAACAAATATCCACCTTTCTTTGTGCTTGAAATAATGTAAAAGCACTAACCTTCCGACGTGTCAGTTATATCATCTATTGTGCCTGGTGTGTTCTCTTCTATTTCAGCATATGCCTGAAGCAAGGCTCTCTGTTCACGTGTTAACTTTCTGAAATAAACAAAACATGGGAAATTTACTTACACTGCTAAAAATATTTCATTAGTTTATTCACAGTAAATAAAATCAAATCAATATACATTACATCACTTATTTACTTTTCTCCAACTTCGAAATACAGAATATTTTGTCTGTTGTTAAGCACAAAGCTAAACAATCGGTTATCTGTGCTGTGCCCGCCATGAGTATTGAAAACTGGCTTTTAGTATTACAAGTCTTCAGATTTACCACTTAGCCAATAGTATTACAAGTCTTCAGATTTACCACTTAGCCAATTAACATATCAGAAAATTACAAATTTTTAAGCTATTGATTTTTTTGAAGTTACATTTCTTTTTTGTTCCGGCAAAATACAGTATGATAAAACTGTTTTATTCTGTTTACACAACTTAGAAAGTTTTTATTTGTCTAGAAAAACAAACTGAAACATTACCATGATTGTTATGAGGAAAAGAGTAATTAAACAAGACACAGTAAAACATTTTTTGCTACCAAAACTGTGAGTTCAGTCACAAAACAAGACACAGTAAAACAATTTTTGCTACCAAAACTGTGAGCTGGGTCACAAAACAAGACACAGTAAAACATTTTTTGGTACTCCAACTGTGAGCTGGGTCACAAAACAAGACACAGTAAAACAATTTTTGGTACCAAAACTGTGAGCTGGGTCACAAAACAAGACACAGTAAAACATTTTTTGCTACCAAAACTGTGAGCTGGGTCACAAAACAAGACACAGTAAAACATTTTTTGCTACCAAAACTGTGAGTTCGGGCACAAAACAAGACACAGTAAAACATTTTTTGGTACCCAAACTAAAAATACCTAAAAAACAGTGTCTTATTATGAAATAAAAACATTACAGAGACTTACTGTGGTATCTTAATTTTGATATGAATGTAGTGATCCCCATGACCATACGAGTTCATCTTCTTAATACCCTTTCCTGCTACTCTTATTCTTGCATGAGATGACGTTCCTGGTGGGATCTATAACAAAATACAACCGTATTAGCCCTATATATACAGGCACCCCTGTACTGTGCATGTAACTAGATTTTACCTTGTTACATTCAAAACGTAATTAATAAATCTTACTATCAATATATACCAATGAAATTATCATTAAAATTTACATTGTAGTTCAATTTTAATTCCTTTATTTCAAAAGAAACCGAAAGGAAAAATTTTTAAACTTCAGTTTGACGTACAATTTCACAAAGTTTTCACTTTAGGATTTTGTAACTTGAAAAGAGTTGGATATACCAAACCTTCTATATATATATATATAGATATTAATCTAGGTTAATTGTCCTGTTTACACATTCTTCTTTCGAGAAAAGAGAAATAATTTTCTTGGAACTCTTGACGGATGCCACGTCCACACGATTTCTCAGCCAGTTATACTTGGTTGAGTTAAATGTTTGCAACCAATAGTAAGACCATATTTTGAAATACTATCTCCCAAGTTAGTTTAAAATTTGTGTGAAGAATTCCATAGAAAACTTATCAAACTCTCTCAGCATTGTTTTTGCTTTTCTTCTCGCTAATGCTTTAGAGTTGTTTCTCACCTATAAATATATTAGTTAAATAGACAATTAAAATGTATTTAAGTTTTTACTTTTATATTTTAGTTAATTATGTGTTAGTTATGTTTTAAAATGCATATTAGAAAGGTTTAATAATTTTTAAAACATAAGCCAAACTGCCTCGGTTTATCGGGCTTAGTGTAGCAGGTAAATGTCCCAGCATTCTGATGACAGCTAAAGCATTGCTGTCAAGGACACCATGAGAACATCTGTTCATGTGTGTTGTGATAAACAATAATGCTAAAGGATAGGAAAGAAAAATAAAACATTAAAAAATTAACTTTTTGTGAAAAACGTAAAAACTTTTGATAAAAAATTAAAAGGTATGTAAATTTTTCTATTTTAAAAATTGTAAAAATAATTTCACAGCACAACATGTTGATCATAATACTTGAAATATTTAGAGTTGGAATGCCAAAAACTACAAAACAAAAATAACCCTTCCATTACGTGTTGGGTGGAATCCAATCAACTCGTAACCATGAAAGTATCCATAGCAGTAATTATACTATGAATTTTGATAATGTATGCGCATCTATACAAAATTTTGCAGGTTATTGGTAAACATTACAAGGTTTTCGTACACAAAATATCAGGTTTTTAAATCAAGTATTAAGATTTTTTAACTAAAAATTTTCTCATAAACCTTTTTCTTTCAGAATGTTGACTATCCAATTTTGATTTTAAGATTAAAAATACTTTAATGCATTAGAACATTTTTAAATTTCACATGCGAAATCTCCAGATAATTATCAAATGTTTTTTAGAGC